GCTTCCCTGGGCAGCTGTTCCTATGTAGCGATGTAATGCTCTGAAGACAACCTGTAACTGAATTGTCAGAGCGGCGTGAAAAACAAAACAAAAATTGTAGCTGATTAATTAAAACATAGTGAATATCTTCACTAACGGAAGAGGCATTCAACTTTTAGGTAAAATCAGCATAAAAGCAAAACAGATTTTTTTTTTGAGAATAGAGAACAAAGCGAAGCTCAATGACAAAATCAACTTGTTTCTTCCAGTTTTCATTGCAAAGTCCTTTAAAATAGCATTGTGATAAAAAGCATATCTAATGTCAAAGCTGTGCCAAACTAATAATATGCCATGAGATTTCTGGAAACGAAGTGGAGGTCATCAATGGTTCTAATTTTATCCTGCGACTCTTTTTATGGAAGATATACGTTGGTTCATTTAGCATTCCAAATAAAGTTCTGCCACAGAAGTTGGAGACTGTGCTTCATTCTTTCGTCCGTTTGCAAATAGAAAATAGACTTATTCCAGTTTTAATTATTTAGTTTCTAGCCAGTGCTTGTGTATGTGTCTTTGAAAATAGGTTGACTCAAAATTGCTGTGCATGTTAGAGATCTCATTTAATAAAATAAATTAACTTCACTATCGGTGACAGTGAGATTTGTAGATTTACTGAGGGTAGGTAAGTCTGTAGTTCTTTAATGTGTCTTAAAACTTAATATTACGTCTCCAAATGACAGCATGGTGAAATGAATCGGAAAGTAAATCCAAAGCAAACTGGCAATACTGATAATGTCAAGGTGTTGCAACTGGTGCCACATTGATGGAGTACTGCCTGTAAACGCTGACAGCAGGTGACTAATTTGAGCAGTGAAGGTACAGGAGCAATTTCTGAAATTATTCAGTATTTTTTTTCATCTGTATACAAGATGTTAATGTATTTTTAGTATGAAAATCAAGTCATTAATTCATGTGTTGCACACTGCCAGGTGAGATGCTGTAAGGCTTTTAATTGCATCTATATTTTTTTTTTTTTCTAGAAGTGTATACTTTTTATATTTAAGAGTGTTCTTCTGAAATTTTTGAAGTCATACTTCTGAGAACATGTTGATAATTACAGTTTTTACTCATACAAAAAAAAAAAAAAAAAGCAGGGATGGAAAGCAAAACAAATGGGCTATATAGTCAGTTGGTGATGGGAAGAAAACTGGATGTGACACTTTAAAGGCCAGGATAAAAGAGCAAGCTATTAGCAAAAGCAGAAAAATTCTGTTCAATTTCTGAGCTGTTTTTTCAACTGTAGCATTTCTCAAAACTGCATTTTGGAATGGTGTTTTTATTTTTTTCCTTTCAGACTGCGGTGAGCTTCAGAAATCAACCATGGGCATTAAAGGTTTACAGGGATTTGTGGCGAGAGTTTGCCCTGACGCATGCAGAATGGTAGATCTGAAAGAGATGGCAGAAAAACACCGCGTCGATCATCCAGATGTCACGCCTGTTATTGTAGTAGATGCCATGAGTTGTGTTCGACACTGGTACACACCAGAATCCTGGGTGTGTGGTGGCCAGTGGCGAGAGTACCTTACTGTTTTAGAGGATTTCATCGAAACTTTTAAAGCAGCTGGCATCGAGTTGGTGTTTTACTTTGATGGAGTGGTGGAAGAGAAAAAGAGAGATGAGTGGATCAAACGGAGGCAGCAGAATAACAAGGAAATAGCCAACCTATTTCAGTTTATCAAGACTCACAGGAAACAGCCGGGGAGAGGAATGTTCGTTCTTCCCTCAGCTTTGCCTACTTTTACACGGTTTGCTCTAAAGTCACTTGGTCAAAAAACAGTGTGCACATTGCAAGAGGCAGATTTTGAGGTGGCTGCATATGGTTTGCAGCATAACTGCATGGGAATTCTTGGGCAAGATAGTGACTACCTCATCTATAATACATCTCCCTATTTTTCCATTGAGAAGCTCTGCTTGGACAGACTAGTCACTGTTATGTACTCCAGAGAAGATCTTTGCCGTGCGCTAGGTCTTAATATGATGCACCTTCCTCTCTTTGCTTGTTTGCTTGGCAATGATGTTGTTCCAGAAAACATGCTGGAAGGCTTCTGGCATAAATGTTTAGTCATCTGTCCCTCCAGGAATAAGAGCTACAACAGAAGAACAAGCATAATTCTAGCTGTAGCAAAATATATCTCCAAAATTCCGTGCATGTACAGCAGCCTGAAACACTTGGAAGATATGCTACCTCTGGGATCAGACAAGACATTACTTCACAGAGGAATGGAGTCCTATCTTTTGCCAGGGCAGCAGTCTCCATGGATTCCTCCTGATGCAAGAAATTTCAAAATGTTCTCAGGTCAAGAAGAAACACCCATGTGTCGAGATAAGGAAATCTTTCAGGTACTTTGGCTTCTAAAGCTTAATGGGCATTTAATTGTCGTGACTACTTAGTGAAAGCTGGTACTGAGTATGCTGATCCTATGTATTTAAATTAGAGCCATGATTAGAAGAGTTACATACTCAAGGCAGATGCAGCACATTTTAATTAAGTTGTTTCTCTCTTTTTGAAGTATCAGACAGGTCAAATAATGGGAAGCAGCACATGTATGGGCCCACAGCTGGGCAAAGAGATGTGCTTTCCAAGTATTGTACAATGGAGTAACTTGCTTTTTGCTTTGAGAAGCTGCAGGTCAGATACAGCTGGTTAACGGTCTGCTTGGTTGTGCCTGGCACAGGCAAAGTACCAAAGGGGAGCTGTGCTAAGAATGCAGAAGTTGAAATTGCTTTCATGGAGGTGTTGGAAAAGCTTCCAATAAATCTATATTTCATGATTTTAGGACCACGCTCATTACTGTTCAGATACATAATGCATGGATGAACCAAAAGCAGAGGCCTGTTAATTCTTAAAGGGCAGGTCTGCGTGAAGAAGTTTCACATATGGCTTCCTGCATGGGCAGAGATGCACTGGTGTTGGGTTGTGAAGAGGTACCATCTGCAGATTGGATATATTAATTAGGGTTGCCTGCCTGGCTAGTAGAAAACTGCTGCCAACACGTGCACTGATCTTTACACCAACTGGGCTACATTGCATCTGAGTCTGTACAACAGTAGTAAGTTTAGAGTATAAGTGCAAATGCACAGCAATTAAGAGAATGTATTGAAGTTTAATTAAAAAAAAAAAGTCTAAAGGGGATGATAGAATTACTGTTACTCTCTGTTTTGTTAGATACATAGGGGCTTTAAAGAGAGATATTTTTTTTGTCTATGTGTTACCAAGTTTCCTTTACAGCTGTTTTTCTGTTTCCTCCTTATATTACTGTCATGTAATCCTACAATGTACATTTTCCTTTTCAGAAAGCACTTAAAAGTTAAATTAAAACCTATGCAATGCTCATTTCAGCTAAACTGTAGGCATCTGGGTTTGATGTTAACCACACACAAATACAATACATGTAATTTTTCACTGTACTAGTTAAATAGAAGACACCATTGAAAAAAAAAAAAACATCACTACATCCTAATTAAATTTTGAAAAATACTGTTTCTGTTTGAAGTGCATGGAAAAATTAGGTAGAATGTAATCATCTATGTTGGATTACAGCCAGGACAATAGTAGTAATATCCTTACTCCTTAAGAGAACATATCATGTGGTATTTATGACAAGAGGTCATTATTTCTTGATCTTTCATTTTAAGGGTTGCAATTCTCTAGCACTGTGCATTGTGCATACTACTGTATGAAAATATTAATGTTTAGAAGCTTCATTGAAGAACGCCTCACTGTTGCTGCATAAATCCTATGTTAAGCCAGTCACTGAGCCAAGGAAATTACAGTCAAAATTGAAGACATGTTAACTAGACTTCTGCTTTTCTACAGGTGTTTAGATATTCGTATGTTGTGTGTGTGCTTTGTTTCATATTTTAGAATCTTCAAAATAATTCCATTTGCCCTGCACATTATATAAAATGCACATAACTGGCATGTTCAGCCCAGTTCCAAGTTCAAGGACATAACCTCTTGTTACCTCTTCCCTCGGGTTTGGTTTTGCTATATGTAAAAGCAGATTTGGGAGACTGCATTTCTTCCAGGGTAACCATAAGGATATTGTTATAAGAAAATGCTCTGTTGATTGTACAGAAGCCTACTGTTCATTTTGTGCTCATGTGTGCAGTTCTTTGGAAAGTATGACATTTCAGTTGAGTTAGTTTTGATCCATAATGAGCAAAGCTTGACTGCAGCTTTGAACTCCTGAGTTCCCATTCTGGCAGACGCTGGAATTCTGTGGATACAGTGAGTTTCTCTGATCCGGCAATTTGCAGTGAAAGAGGCTGAGAGAGTTGTGTGTGTGCACAACCCCAGTCACATAGATAACATGACACGTAGGGAATGCTGAGCAGAGAAACTTCAGTGCCTCTCACCATTCAGTATGGATCCAAGAGAGTCTACTACTGGTATCCCATGGAAATAATAGGTCTCATTCAACTGTTTGAGCGCCCCTACACTTTGGTTTGAGGTTGTGAAGTACCAAGTATGGCTGGTTCTGCCCTTGCCCAGTCTGGTTAGGTGCCTGAGAGCAACTCCGTTGCTTTTCCATGTAAGATGTTCTAGACCAGCAGTCCCTGTTGGTGCTCTCTAGGTACAGACGTGTCTGTACTCAGTGTGTAGTTAACCTGCAGTCTGGGCACTGCTGTGATTCTGCTTCTCAGCAAGTCTGGAGACCTTGTTTTCCTCACTGCAGCAGACTATTTCTTAACCTGGGAGAAAAACTATTGCAAGGTAATAAGTAAAATTGCAAGGTAAAAAACTGTGGTGAGTTTAAGTGTTCCAGATTCACCTCTGTGTAAACTACACAAACTCAACTACTCTTGGAAGAGTCTGGTGTAGTTCATCTTGAAATAGAATAAAAAGGTTGGGTTTTGTCATGATTTCACTTTTTTTTTTTTTTTTTTTTCCTTTAAGTGCACATACCCTTTTTTGAGAGGGAAAGATGAGTGACTAATGGAGGGCAGTTCATTTTTCTACATCTGCATTCAGAATTAATTCTAGAAATGATTACACTTTAGAAGATGTCACGGAGAAACAACTACCAATTTTCAGAATTCAGGGAGAGACTAAAGAGAAGGGCAATGATGAGTTCCCTGACAATCCCTATCCACAAAATGATACGTGTCTGAAAATATACTGTACTTCTTTTTTAATAAGTTCTTGTTCCCTCCCAAACATTCTGTCTACTTCTCCTGATAAAGTACTGTGTCTTCCAGTAATGAATGCATTTATTTTTTTCTGTTTGATTGTTCTTACTTTTGAAGATAACGCCTTCTTTCTTTGAACAGTTAGCTAAAGAACATCACATCCAATCTGAAAATTATGCAATCTTCAATATCCTGAGTAATGGAGAGCTTGAGTGCAGCAACTCTTTGGAAGATGATTGTGATACAGAGATTCCTGGACAGGCACTCATCTATCGCCCTGCTCGTCAGCATATTTATTCTGTCTTGTTGGAATCAGAAGGAGGTAAGGTTGAGGCTCCTCACGCTACTATTCAAGCGCACTTTAAAATCTGAAATCTTGAATTCATTGTTTCATTGGCTAATTCAGCATGGCATTTAGGATAAAAGCTGGGCAGCTGAAATGTACTTTGTGAGGAACCAACAAAAAAAAAACTTCACAAATTGTTTTTCTGCATGTTGCTAAATTTCAGTGCTTTTAAAGAGATGTTTTTAAAAATATTTTCTTAAATGAGAAGTTATGGAAGTTGTTAATGATCAAAAGATTGAGCAAAACTGTGACGTTTAGGCCATTTTAAGAGTTTGAGAGGGTATGAAGCCTTATTTTGCTTTAGAAAGTATAGCTCCTAGTGAATTAGCTTCAGCTGTAATATTATTCTGCGAAACAGTAATGCACTGTTGCCATTTTACCTTCTGTTGACTTTAAGTTTGCAATTTTAAGAACATTTGATAGGCAAATGTATTTATTGCAGTAATACAAACACAAGTAGTCATGCTGGTGATTATTAGTGCTTTTATGAATGTGGAAGAAAGTGAGATTTATTTATCCAGCGGTATAAGTAGATTCTGCAGTGGGTGTATCTGTGCTTTTATTCTACTTTAAGACACAGAATTATTTATGCTCTCAGTGGCTTTTAGGCAGTGACTTGAAAGTTAACTGCATTGCAGTTTTATTCTTTTTAATATGTTGCTAATCACTTTACATTTTTATTAATGAAAGTGCAAAACTATCTACTTAATATTCGAAATTCAAAGCAAAGCCTTATATATTAAGTACCTGACTTCCTTCACCAACTGGAGTTTGAAGTCACCATAATAGGAAAAAAAAATTGGAAAAACTGAGTCAGAGTTTACACAGTCCTTTAGAGAGAATAACAAAAAGCTCAGCAGTAGCCATGCACATCTGTCATCTTTCATTTTTCGGCCTACTGCCTCTAAATTTTGTAGACAATTATAACTTGGTTGGGTTTTGTTTATTCCTCTACGCAGCAGGATGTTCATTGATGTTTTCAGAAACACCCCGACCCAAAACTTCCAATTAACAATTGTTGCTGCAAGATGGCAGGGTAGTGGGCAGATTTGCATCTGTGTTAGTTTTTTGTAGTACTCAGATGAAGTAGATCAGAATTGAAATGCAGAAACATTAATTTGGAATTCTAATGAATATGAAATTTGGACATGAAGGAGATTTTATTTTAAAAGAATTCTATTTTTTAAAATAAAACCACAGATAACACGTATTACTTGCTCTCAGTTCATGCTTCAAATTCCAGAAAAAAAATTCTGCAGTAGATTAAGCTGAACACCCCCAGTCCTTACCTTTCCAAAAAGATACAAGGAGTGTATCTGCATGGGTCCCATATTAAATCTGCATTTATTAATTTCGTGCATGTATTTACTAGCTGCTATAACTGTGTTGCTTTCCAGTATTTCATTGGTTGGTATTTTATTCCAGTGTATATTTGCTTCCAGAGCAAAAGTGTAGACCATTGATTAGTCTCTATAGAGATTTATAAGTAAATGTCCATGTTACTTTTTAATGAATTTCCTTCCAAAGCTACAAGGCAGTAGCGTTCTCCACAAAGCAGAATTCTTTACCAGTTTTACTCAGATAAAGTCAATTATTTTTTGTAATTCAGTGAGAGGTAGAAGGGGAAGATGTAAACTACGTTGTATGCAGATTGTCATATGATGTAGAATTACTTTGAATTAGCATTAAAATAAGAGCTTACTGGAAGGAATCAACCAATTAAGTTAGTGCACATGGAGTCTGCTGCCATCATGAAAAACTGCCACTGTAGTTCACCCAAAACCAAGTTGGCTAACTACATGATGTTCCATTTTGCAGTTTGGATACTGGCCTCTCTGCAGTTCACAAATCTGCTTATTTACTGTTTAAAATAGAGATAACAGCAGCCAATATTTTGCAAAAGCAGTGATTGCAGTTTTATTTAAGAACAGGTGAAAATTATTTAAACTGCTTTGTCTACCTTGAAACAAGAAGCTCTTGTAAGTTTTGAATGTTTAAGTTGAGGTTTTTAAGTAGCCTAAGATACCCAAGAATCAACAGGAGCTGTGTATCATATCCTTTGAAATCACTTGCATAGAGTATGCCACTTTGCCTGAAGCCATAGCGTAATAAGCAGTGCCAGCTGAATTCTCTTGCACAGCCACTCATTTCAGTCCCTTTGCAACCTGACAGTTGTGCTGGTGCAGCTGTTTGTGATGCTACATGGTGACCTACATTGAGAAACTGAAAATAATCACTTTTTCCCCTCTTACTTTCTTGCAGTTGAGTAACTAACCTGGTTCTGTTTCCCTGTCCAGCTCTGTAGTCACGAACAGTTATGGTGAAGGAATGACAGGGAGTAGGAATGAATGAATCAGCTCTTACCTGAAAATGTGAGCAAGTGTGCTGGAAGAATTGCTCATGGAGCTATGACTTTGACTGTAATTTGGTGTATAGTGAGCACTTTTACTCTCTGAAATGTTGCCAGAATCAGAGCCTTATTTTGACTCAGTGAAAATAAACAGGAGATTGATGGTGATCTTGACAATACACCATTTGTTGCCTATCTTTTTAAAAAATATATATAATTAATACTATTAGAGCTTCTTCTCATCATTGGGTTGAGTATTGTTTATAGTGATACATAAGCTGACAACTTCTAGCGTTGCTCTTAGAACAATTGTACTATTAGAAAAAATTACAGAGGAGGGAAAAACAACAGTAAGTAGTACAGCCAAGCTCTTTTGTGCACAAAGAATTCAGAACAAAGCCGACAGGTTTTGGCACGAGCTCAGTTCATGGAAATACCTGCACCAGTTGCAAGGTTATGTAATGTGGCCTGAACACGTGGCCAGCTCCTGGAAGTCCTGGCATCACTCCCAGTTCTAAGATTAGCAGCCAAGACTGACCATGCCTTTGACACTGTCAAAAACAGGCCATTAGGAGAATTTTTGCCAGTTACCACCAGGGATAGCTCAGTAGGGCTGTTGTTGCAGGTGTAGAGGAGCACAGAATTTCCAGCAGTCTCTAATTTTGGTGTTTTGCACATAACTAATTTTTTTTTTTTTTACCTGCTAGGCAGACTTTTCATGGTTCATTCAGAACCTATTTAAGCAGAGGAGCTGCTGTTGGTGATATTCTGTATATGCATTGTTGGGGGGAAAAATTTGAAAAGTTAAACCTTTTCTTTTTAATTTTCCCCTAGCAACAATTCCATGCCAGGAGGTTTGGCATTTATTAATCAAACCTGTATTTTGTTCTTGCTAGGTTAATGTGATGTGAATTTGCATGACTTGGGTTTTAGCTGTATTTATTTGGCATCTTATGAGAGCAGTCATATATTTCTGTTACTAAGGATTATAGCAATGAAAAGCACTGAGCTGATGTGAAGCTGCATAGATTAAAAAGATGATACTGTAAGTTTGCCACTATTTTCTGTTTTTACTGTACTTGAGCTCAATGGGTGATGTACAAATAGTATTTCACTAGCATTTGGAATCAAGTGACATTTTGATGTTTTGTGAGTTGTGGAGCTTTGTGGCTCCCCCAGCTTCCCTCAGCAAAGTTTTGTATTTCCATGTTCCTGCTGTCCTCTTAACTTCTCTTAACTTCTCACATCCACAGCATTCCATCATGCAATATATTGTGTTCTCAAGTATGTCCCTTATTGTCTGTTGCTCTCCACAGATCCTGTCTGTCTTTTTATTCAGCTCTATTTCTTCCATAGCTATTTGCCATCTTGATTTGAGGTGGAAAAGGTAACTTCACTTCCCTGCCTTTCTTTCAGTTGGTGCCCTGATAGGATCCTCTTGTCTGCCAAGTCACTGTCTTCGTGAAATGTTTTGCAATTTCATACGGTTGAAATCTTTTGTACTCTTCCATCTTGAGGTGGAAAAGACCTTTGGATCCATCAATTAATTAAAAGACAGGCATCTTAATTGTATAAGCCTTGCTTCCTTAAGAAACCTGGGAGTTTGAACAAGCTGAATGTATTGAATAAATCAGAGTAATTTACTTAATAACCCTTAAAACAGAATGCTTTGTGAAAGTGACTTTGGGATATTAAATTTGAAGCTTTTCTTAATGAAATAACATTGTCATAGGTAGTAATTTGTAATCAAGATGTGAAACTATTCATGTACTGGAATACTCAGTTTAATGTATTTGTTTTCCCTACTGAAGGAATTTTTCATTGTATTCTTTGTATCAGCAATTTTCAAACAATGAAGCATCCTAAGCACAGATGTAGGCCTGTCCTTTGCAATTCAAGCTGCCAACTCTTCAGTTTATTGGGAGCTTGCACTGTAGGTCCACGGTTAAGGAAGAAAGAAGAAGCAGGGCAGTAAAATGTTTTGTCATGTTCTTTTCTTCTTCCATATCCCTGAGACTAGCACCATATCTGAGGGATTTTATGCCAGCAGTCATTTTCTGCATGAAACTATGGACAAGGTCAGGAAACAGCTTCCCTTGGATTTTAAATGTGAGCTCAACTTTACAAGTCGGTATGGGGTAGAGAGTGTGTTGCTTAAAAGTAGAGAAACTTTTTAAGTAAAGAAACACCTTAGTCTTTACATGGGATGGTGAGGTACGGTTGGGGTTTGAGGGCTAACAAGCCACTTGAGCTATTAGACATAAATCATCTTTTTATACCAGATAAAGATTGGGAACAATGGCATCTAAAAGCTCTGCATCTTGCTGTGGTGTGACTCCACTGCTGTGAGCTTTCAAATAGATAGTTAAAGCCTCCTATAAAATTTTATCTTTACAGGCATGGGAAACATCAGGTCAAGTTGAGAAGAGAACCGTGTTGAGGACTGGCTGCATATGTGGCCCTGTGAGGTTGAGGTAGCTCATGCAGGTCCCTAAGCTACACCAAATGCCTCCACAGCTGCCTGAACTGCCTTAGAATAGGAGGGCCTAAAATTGGATGAAAGATGTTGTAGAATGTTTTTCACTGACTTTTTCATCTGTATTTCTGACTGCAATTCCCAAGTCAAAACACCGCATTTATTGTGCATAATAAAAACTCTCACTTGTCCTGATAGTTTGTCATAAAGATAGTAAAATTAATTTTTCTTGCTTAGTTTGTTTTTAAAGAAGCTGAAAAAACATGTCATTATGAAATACTTTCTATTACATAGAATCCTTACCACCACTCTTTATTTTATACAATTGTCAGTACTTGCACTTCTATTACTCACCCAATTCTGTCTATTTTTAGATGGAGCCTGTCCTGTGGTAAAAGAGTGGTTTGTCTATTGTGGAAATCCTCTACAGGAGCCAGACCTGATACAACCTGTGCAGCCCTCTATTCCAGGTAGGATGAAATAGTGTTTAAATCTGAAATAGTGACATCACTGAAATCAGGTTAGAAGACATCAGACATCCGAAGACATCATCAGACATGATATCCAAAGTGGTTGTGGAAATCTGGGAGCTAAACTAAAAATGCTGTATGCCTATAATTGCTTCCATTTGCCCTGTGTAATTATAAGAGGATTCAGCTTTGAGCTATATCTTATTATTGTGTCTTGTGGAACCCAGTGCTAATTCAGACATTTATTCTAAAATGCAAACAATTCCTTAAATGTTTTAAATACTGCTCTGAGGCCACGATAAGTAGTGTGCGGGGCTGTAATTAAAATTCTCCTGTGGAGCTGAGAGAATGAGTTAATGAGACTGGTGGAGAATATGGCAATTTTAGACCACCTGAACTCAGAAAAGAGAACCCAGTTTTCAGCAGAAGTGCAGTGGGGCTACCTGTTTTTGTGTGGTGTCTTTCACTGTCTTAAGTACTGAGTGTTTTGTATGTTCATACCATCTTTCCTTTGGTAAAATATGTATTCTTGAGCGCTCTTCGTGAAATCATTATTATGAGAGATGTGTTCATGGGGAAGGATACTTTAATTAAAAGATTGGGCACTCATCTCTTTATCACTAAACTGTATCATGCTATACTCTATATACTCTCTCTATATATATACTAACACTATATATAAGTCTAGAATAGGAAGTAAACAGTACTATATCATTTTTGGTTCTTTTGGTTTGTTTGTTTTTGAGAGGGAAAATTGTTCTAATCGTTAATTTGACCATGCTACTGTGCTTGCAACCACTCTATCTTTATTCTCACAGTTATAGCTCTCTTTCTCTTCAACCAGTAGTACGTGGATCCAGGAGCTCAGAGGATTTGTGGTCTTTATAGGAAAAACATTATTTCCATTGATATACCTTTGATATCTTGTTAAGAAAAATGATCAGCTAATGTATTTTTTAGAGTAATTTCTAACGCTTCTTTCAGTATTCAGAGCTTTGCATAGCAGTCCTCTTTCTGATCTGGTTTAAATCCTTTCACTGCTTTTTTGTGAATATACACATCAAGTTGGAGCACGCTGCCTTTTTTGTTGCTGTTTTTAGGGATTGCTTTAGATGTTACAGTAAAATGTCTCTTAAAATATCCTAGGATTGTATGTTTGTCTTCATTATTAAAGCTGGTAATACCTTAGAACAGTCTTCAAATTCAAGATTGATGGAACGACAGCTGATCTTTAGATAGCAGCCTGTTCAAAATCCTTTTGAAAGGACATGTTTGGAAAGAATTGAGTTATATAAACAAAGTGCAAACAAGCCCTTCATTTGATATACGATAATTTCACTGTGCAGTAGCTCCAATATGTTATTAGCAGAACGATTATCTAATTGACTTGATGATGGCATAAAATCATCGTGAAATTTTCCAGATGGATATGAATAGGCAGGGTAAAAGCTGATTTGCCTGTCCTGTAGAACTGTTTTATTTCAGTGTATAATGGTGTGAGAACATGCAATTGTAAAACAAACAAACTCAAAGAAGTATAAATGATTTCTATATAGTTACTCTCTGATTGCATGGTAAATATTATGGTATTTATTGTTGTGAAATGTTCCTTCCTAGGTAATATAGTACCTTCTTCCTTTCTTGGGAGGAATGTACTCTGATTCTACTGCTCTGCAAACATATCATGCACAGAACCCACCTTCATGTTGACAGTAAATAAAATTTCAAATTACTTTGAGTTTGTTTGTGTACAGCAGCTGCATATCAGGAGTTTGTAAAAACATTATCTTTGGAGACATAATCTTCACTAACTCAGTAATGAAAGGCTGTTCTAGCAGACTATTAAAAAGGGGGTGGAGGACTTCTAGTGTTTATTTTTAGTGCTCTGTTGTCATTCCTTCAGCGAACAAATATTTTTCTAAAATTTTTGCAGTCCATATTTGTATGCCTTACATTCGCTCATGCATCTTTTATTTTCCACAGCACGTCTTTCTAATTCACCAAATAAGGTTCTCTACAGCGCATCACATTTTTCAGACAGGGATCACATTTAGAGCTACATTTAAAGAAGTTTTTAAGGGAAGTTAAGAGTTCAAAGCTGTCAATCAAGATCAGGTTACTCAAAAAAAGACAAGAAACCTTAGGAGGAACTATTTGAGAAATCACAGGTGCAATCAGTCTGAGGAAGTTCTTTGTTTAATTTTTTGGGGGAAAAAAGAATAGCATCACAGTAACTACTTTAGAAGTGTACTGAGAATATATGGGAAATCTTGGCTCTTGTATTTGATTTGGGATAAAAAAGAAAGAATATTTAGTATGAATTTTGAATTGTGCTTCATTAAAAATTATAGATTTCACATTGATCTTTTTTTAAAAAAAAAGTGTTTCTACCAATGCATGGATTTTTGTGTGTAAAACAGCAGAACTGCCTTGAATATGAAAAGCTTGCTGGTGATATATTGCTTTTTTTTTTTTAATGAAACATTGAATCCTAATGGTTGTAAAGTGATAGTTTAAAATGTGTTTAAACTAAAGTGTTTATTATTTATATGCATTTTTCTTGGGAGAATCTTCTGAATTAGCATTTCTGCTTGTTCTCTTTCTATTTCTCTTTCTCCCTTCTGGAATGTTTCCTTTCAGCTGAATGAGTGTGATTGCAATGTTTCCCACACACCAACAGAGCATTATTTAAAGTGATTTTAAAACATGTGTCTGAGAAATGAATTTCATTAGAAGATCTATGATCTAAGAAATTACTGTTTAACATACATAATGTGTGAACATCCATTTGACGTCTATACGATTTGTTATGGAACGAAGTTTTAAAATCTTTACTGGACATGTACAGATTTCACATTTCATTTTATTCCTGGAAACATATGGGATATTGTAGCTTGTTGTGTATGTAGACTTCTTTATCCTGAAGGAGTCTGGATATACTTTCAGTCTTCTAATCATTTTATCTTGCAGGAATATGCCATGAATATGCTCATATTCCAAGTACTTTTTTCTGATACTGATTCCTGAATGCTTCTTTAATTGTCAGTTTTAAGTGTCATTTGGGTTTCTAGCATCTTTAGAATTGGCCAAGGTTGATCATATGTTAAGATTGAGCACTCCTGTATACCGAGCATTGTCCAGTATATTTTTATAATCTTATTTGTGTTGTTTAGTTTTTACATGAGCGTGTAAAACAATGAAATATTGCTGTTTTGTTGCTGGTGTTCTAAAGTGAAATGTCAACAGTCACTACTTCAAACTGATGTAAACAGTTTCATATCATACATTTGTGTCCATATACAGAATGATGATATAATTTAAGTTGGTAAGAAGGTGAGAGTCACCTTTGTGTAAGTCCAGTGTTCAGTGATCCCATAATGTTAATGCATTTTGCAGGCAATGTGTCTTCATAAATCAGTTATTGAAGTTCAAACAAATGAAATATTTTTCATGATGACAGCGTGTTTAAATTTATGAAGGGAAAAGGGGGAAAAAAATAGCAAATTATTTTTCTCTCACCTATTTTTTGACCGTATTTGTATTCATGCAAATACTACCATTTCACCCCCATGGAGTTTTTTGTGATCTTCCCTTTCTGAGAGTGCCCAAGGACTACAGTTTATATGCTACTGAATACTGTTTTCACACAGTCTTGTGTATATTGAGAATAACCGTAAGCGTATGCAGATCAAGTCTCGTTCTGTAGTTCATGGGACCTTATGATTTCTATGACCCAAATAGGATAAATACCTTTCTCATGACTAATCTTTACAGTAAAGATGTATCAGTTGTATTTTTGAGCACGTTTTGCTCTATTTCTCTCCCTTTTGTTACTCACTTGTGGTCGTTGTTTTTTCAAAGTTAGTTTAGTAAATATTTAGATGTGTTAAAAAAGCAAAATACTTCTCATTCTTGTCCAAGTAGCTTTCTCTTTCAGGAGAGTTTTCCAGTTGCTGCAAATACACTGTAAGATCTAAACTAGAGCAGAAATCTGTTTTGGGGATCTACTTTGTATGAATCTTAGGTCTGTTGACTGTACACGTGGTCCTGAGGAAATCATTAAACTCCAGTGTATTTGTTTGCTTTACTTATCTTTCATTTAAGGGTTAATAAATGGCTCTCTCTTGATTATGACATGGAATTTAATTATTTGTAGAATGCATTGAGACTCTTTCAAAAAAATAGTGCCTTTGGCGGTATGTGCCAAAAGGAGATAGTGTCAAGTTTTCTTTCCCAGAGTAAATAACTCATAATTCATCGGTACCTCTTTTTCCCAGGCGCAAGTCAATTTCACTTCTTAAAGTATAAGGGACTGTTTATGGAAGAAATGTCTCAAATTTTTTGTTGAGCTCTCTCAGTATAGATATGTAGCCTTGATTATTGATGTAGTTCATGGTTTTGCTCTGAAGAAAGAAAAATTTCTATTATTAGGTATGCCCTTGGATGCAATTCGTTTTTAAAAAGTACAGTCAGAAAGGGAACTGATTCTTGGAGTTTCTCCTCATGCAGCTGAACGTGAACCTTTGGGAAAGCAGAAGCCGCCAAAACTTTTTGGGCTTACCTGAGTAAAAATAGTCTCGCAGCTTACATTAATTTAGCCTTGGTAGGAAAAGTTGGCTTTGTTTTGTTCTTACGCATGTAATCTTTGCATTTCTTCCTGGAATTCACTCTGCTATCTTTTATTTTCTTAAAGCAACAGTTACCACTATCTAAACCAGCTGTATCATGCTGTCCATACGTGTCCTCTCACCACCAATGTTTGTGATATCTCTAATCTACCTTTCTAACCCTAATCAAGTTATTGTTGTTGTGTTTTATTGTTTGTTTTTTGTTTTATGTACGTTTTGTCCCACAAAGATTAGAAACTTACGGTTTGTACAGTGGTAGTTCTTTACGTAGTTAAAAAATTGGATGAGAAATTTGGTCTTAAACAGTAAAACAGACGTACACTGGGGAGATGAAGAAAGCAAATACTAAGAACTTTCTACTTCCACCTTCTCTGTAGAATTAGTACCATTTGGTTAATGAGCTTTCTTGGCTAAATAAACATCATCTGTATAAATTCAGCACCTTGTCACTTTAATAATTTATTATCACCAAGTGTTCCTAACTGGACTACAGCAGCTGCACATCTCAAAAAAAAAAAAAAAAAAAATAAAAGTGTTACCAAATGCAGCTTAATTGGCCCACATTTAAAATTTACACCTCTTTTATTTATCTACAGAAGCAGCAGTGCTTTATGGTAGGAATCAGTCAGTAATTGGGCTTCTTAGGCATAGCCACTTAGCTGTTCTGTTATTTCATGTGCATTAGTGTTTATTTAGATAATGGCTTAAATGTAATTTAAATAGGGAACAAATATTACATTGGATAATGCGTCACAAGTTGGGAGATGGTAACAGGGAGTAAATATTAAAGATTTAGACATTATGGTGAAAGGAACTATAGGAAAGCCTGGAGAGATATATTATACATCACCAGTGACTGTTCTTTTCTATGTGTTTGCTGCAATGTTTTGTACGTCTGCCTAGGGACTACAGAGTGCCAGATAGCCTTGATTTTTTTATTTTTATTAATTTTTCCCCAAACTTGCTAGTGATCTTACCGCAGAGTAATTATGCCAGCACAGCGTTCTGTTGAGTGCAATGTCTAGCTTTGCCAGCAAAATGGCATAAGTAGCCAGTTTGTTCCTTAAGGTGGTTAGGAGAAAGGAGATTCTGGCATACCTCGAGGGAGTCCAGTGCACTGTCACTAGGAGAGAAAAGAAAGAGACACTGTCATATCCCACTGAATCACTGTTTTATGATGAAACTGATCTCACCTAATGCTCTTGGGGAGTAGGGGAAAGGACAAACTTTAAGCCATCCTTTATTCTTGCAAAGGGTAAATGTCTCAAGGTTGTCTGTGTTCTGTAACAGTTGAATTCAGTCCACTCTTCTTAAATGTTACTATATTGATAGAATCATAGAACCCTTAGAGTTGGAAGGGACATTTAAAGGCCATCTGGTCCAACTCGCCTGCAGTGAGCAGGGACATGCACAGCTGCATCAGGTTGTCCAGGGCCAGATCCAACCTTACCTTGAAAGTCTCCAAAGACAGGGCATCCATCACATCTCTGGGCAACCTGATCCAGTGCCTCACCACCCTCACTGTAAAATACTTTGTCCTTAAATCTAACCTAAATCTGCCCTCTTTTAAGCCAAAAACCATTTCCCCCTGTTTTATCACAACAGACCCTGCTGAAGAGTCTGTCCCCTTCTTTCTTGTAGCTAACCTTTCAATACAATTTGTTTGAATTAAAAGCCTTAAATATTTGGTGGTTTTTTTTGTTTTTTTTTTTTTCAAAAAAAAACGGGTTTTGTCAAATTACTGTTACTGTCACTCTATGGTCCTTGCAAGTGCCAAAAGCAGATTAGTTGTTTCCTTTCAAATTGTAATTTGGAATGCATATTTTATCTTGTTGCTGTTAAGATAAAATAATGGATTTCTTTTGTAGGTGGAACACCTAATTTGAAAACGCTGTGGTTTGCCAAAGGACCTGACGTGGAAAAGCAACGATACAGTACATTTCTGGCATGCTTTCACCTTCAGGATGCAATGGAAGAGCTCCAGGCTCTAGAAGCACCTGTTGCAGCATTCTGCTGCTTGCTGACCTACCTTATGCTGCAGGTAACTGGGACAGTTACTGTTTCTTCGGCTGCCAGCTCTTATAGGTGTGATTGACTAGTAAACTTGCTTGCTGGCCTGTGGGCAATTTTTCTTATAATCATTACTGGAGGCACAGTTGATCAAATACAATAATAATGCATTGCAGCATTTTAATTACCCCATTTGACATGCATCACCCTGTTTAAAAAACATGGTTTTTTTAGTAGTTCATCGTAACTCTCACATGTCCATGACAAAGTCTCTTGGGCAGTTTAACAGAGAGTGTGAATAGAGGAGTTTTTCACCCTTTTGAGGACTTGTTTGATAATTAAAGCTTTTCTTAGTGTTTACGTAGTGTCATCAAAAGAAGAAATCTCAAGTGACTATGCAAGCTATGCCAGCAGACACTATAAGTATTTAGTTGACTCTCACTACTTTTCATACCAGCTTGTATTCTACTCCATTTCAAGTCAGAATTAAGGATATGGCCCTTCTGATTAAATTGTTCAGGTGATCACTAGTTAGTAGTTAGAATTCTAAATGCCTGGCAGCCTGCAGACTAGCTTATTTATAATAAAAAGGAATGGAAGTTTAAATGCAATATTACTTCATTAATTATATTTCTTCTATGTATAATGTGTTGTTTATGCTTGCCACCTTTCAAATGTGTTTTCACAACTATATTTTTCTCTCTGAGAATTAGAAAATTATAATGCTTTTATCTAATCTAGAGAACTCTAGCATTTTTACTAACACTGAATTACATTTCATCCCTTGTTTTGATTTTTTGTTTTTTGTTTTGTTTTTTTTCAAAAGGGCTGACAACAGCAGGACTAGGGGAAATGGATCCAAGTTGAAGGAGGGAAGATTTAGGTTGGATGTTAGGGGGAAGTTCTTTACAAGGAGAGTGGTTAGGCCCTGGAACGGGCTGCCCAGGGAGGTTGTGGATGCCCCATCCTTGGATGTGTTCAAGGCCAGGTTGGATGGGGTCCTGGGCAACCTGATCTGAATGTGTGTGTTTGGTGGCCCTGCTAGGCAGGGGGGTTGGAACTACATGATCCTTGAGGTCCCTTCCAACCCGGGTGATTCTGTGATTCTGTGATTCTGTGATCTGTGATTTTTAGACTTTACTTGTTTTGTCTTAGTAACAGAATTACACTGGTTTGTGATAAGTGAAAACAGATTCTCTCTAGGTTTCCTATTGGTTTTTTCTTTCTTTATATATGTTTGTTCAGTCTTAGATGATGCATTGAGGCAGTATGTATGGGAATTAAACAAATGATCTATATAGCTCCTTTTGTTCTTTAATCTTTATATAGCAGGATATTAATGGAAATATTTTTTTAAGATCAAAGTCCTGAAGCCACATTTCATGCCTTACCATTTCAATGCAGCAAGATAAGTATTGTGTACTTTGCTTTAAAGACACAGTTTAATTTTTCCGTGTTTGGATATGATATGTTTTCACACTTATTTGTCATGCTATTCTGTATAGTCTTCCATAGTATGATTATTTGAGAATGTTTTCTTCAATGTGATTAAGAAGTTAAGTAATGGGATAGATCACCTACAGAAAAGTGTATTTACTGAGCCTTGAACACAGAATATTAATAAAATGAAATAGATCCCTTTTAGGGATATGGTCTTCAGAACTTATCATCCAAAAACTGCTGTTAAAAACAGAGGAAAATAGTTTTGTGACTCTTATTTTCAAGAACAGCAAAGACATCATGCCAGATGATGGAATGATTTTCATGGCAGTGCTGGTTTCTCAACATCTGTCCCATTTTCAGCGCTCTGAGTTGCACAGGTACATTCTACCCTGTGAACCAGACTAGCAATCTGATTTGGATTAAAATGTGTTTCATTGCTTAGTTGTTTAGTGCTCTGATGTTGCCATTTGTTCTCTTGGGGTGTTTGATAGGAAGAACAAGAGTAAGTGTCGGCAACTGCACTTTGAGTTGAGAGTAGTACTTCCACTTGTTATTATAGCTGAGAAAACAATGTTTGTCTAACTGTGGTCTAATTCTTGTCTTTACACTTCAGCCTTGCATTTGTATTAAAGAGCTAAGGTGGATTGTTAACGTGTGGTGATTTAAGCTACATAGTTTTAGGTTGCCTTGGGCAGGCTAACATCATTTCCCTCAGCTCATGTGAGGGAGAATTGAACTTCATAACAGTTTCATTTATTGTCTTTTAATCTAACCTGAAACTGTTGGGCTTTTTTTTTGTTGTAGGAATCAGGATAAGTGAGTACCCAAGCTTCCACAAAATTTGTGTCATAACAGCATAAAGAAAGTGTTGATTTAAAGAGCACTCTTTTCAGTGAGGATGCTTTTCAAATATCCTCCAAACTGAGAACAAAAACAGTGGAAAAAAACCAGCAGGTCGATCATTAAAAATGGGAAGGGGAGTGAATGACTCCAGAGATCAAACAGTAGAGCCTCCAGAGAAAGGGGAGATAGAAACATTTACATTTTAAGTTTTTGTACTTTTATAGGAAATTTAACAGTGCAAGTGTGATAACTCGTCAAGCTGGGATATCAAATGAAGTATTTCACTGAAGAAGTGTTTTGATATTAATACAATTTTTGCTGATGATGCTCTCTTCAGGGTTTTTTGTTGTTGTTGTTGTTGTTTTTTTTTCCTGTTGAATTTGCAAGAAATCTTTGATTTGTTTTTCTTAGGACAGAATTGTGCAAGACTTGCTCTGTAGATGAAATTTCTATTACCAGGATCTATAAAATTCACAGGTTTGTTGCAACCTACACAAAGGTGATACCTGAGCTGAAATACAGGGCAACTTAGGGTTATTATCAGATCTTAGCAGCCTTCTTAGTGGAGCTAATGAATACTAAGGAACATTTGGAAGCTTAAAGCTTCTCTGATATCCCTTACATTCTCGTGCTTTATGCAAGGTTTAATAACTTCTTACAGAGGAAAGTATTTTACAATGAGATAAGTAGTAAGATCTGATAAGAAAAAAGCACAACACAACAAAACAAAACTATTCTCAGTAGTGGTTGAATAATTTATATCTTGAGGGTTGCTCTTCTTAAGCAAATAAATGAATGAAGTAATCATAGTCGGCTTCTTAGTGTTTCTTTTTCCTATTGATTTACATCAGTATTTTTTGTTATTTTTCTCATTCATTTTTTTCCTCTTAGTTTGTAATTCATATTAGTCTTAATAGAAACTCATAGGAGAATTGAAATGGGATTTGCATGACTTTCCCTGAAAATCAAGGCATTAAAAGATGGGCAGTGCAGTATTGTAGGTCTTACAGCCTTTTAGCTGTACTGTAATCCCACATTGCATATTTCCCCACTTTTGCAAGAGAAACTTTCCTTCAGTTTCCAATTGATAATAATTTTCAGTGCTTCGTGAATCTGATTTAGAGTCCTCTTTGTAGTCTCAACAGTTGTAATTGGTATGTTGTCTTGTTGCACATGTATAATTTATGTTGTTCACACAGAGGAAATAGATGATCAGAATTAGAGAGTACTGTCAGGGAGTTAGTCTGACTGGTACAGAGGCTTTGTCTTCATCTTGAGGTGATCATGTGCATCTAGAGAATCCCCAAATGCTTTTTCACAACTGTAAATACTCCTTGTACTCCCTTTTTTGGTAGAAATGTTTGAGTAAGCTATTGCATGAATTGAAAATTTTCCTTCATGTTTTCTTGAGTATTTTAGACTCAGTTTTCTTACAGCCTTGAGTTGTTCCCACATCTGTATGTAACAATTAACAGGTAACCATGTAAGCATTTGAATAAATCCTAATGGTTGTGACATCTATGTCAGAGAGCTGTTGGAGAGGGTCGAGAGGAGAGCCACAAAGATGATCAGAGGACTAGAGCACCTCCTCTACAAAGACAGGCTGAGGGAGCTGGGCTTGTTCAGCCTGGAGAAAAGAAGGCTGCGGGGAGACCTAATTGCAGCCTTTTAGTACCTAAAGGGAGCCTACAAACAGGAAGGGAGTCAGCTCTTTGAAAGGGTAGATAACTATAGGACAAGGGGAAGTGGTTTTAGGTTGAGGGAGGGAAGATTTAGGTTGGATGTCAGGGGGAAATTCTTTACAGAGAGAGTGGTGAGGTGCTGGAACAGGCTGCCCAGAGAGGTTGTGGATGCCCTGTCCTTGGAGGTGTTCAAGGCCAGGTTGCATGGGGCCCTGGGCAGCCTGGTATGGTATTAAATGGGGAGGTTGGTGGCCCTGCGTGTGACAGGGGGGTTGGAGCTTGATGATTCATGAGGTCCCTTCCAACCCTGGCCATTCTGTGATTCCATGAAATTTCCTGTTGTTAAGAAGTGCCAAAGAAATAGAAGAAGGCAATATGTAAAGAATGGGCGTTTTGTTTGGTGTGTGGAAATTGTGTATGTATGCTATACACTGGTATAATGAGCTATGCACTTCATTCAAATATTGAAACTTAAGCATTTTGTTCCATTTAAATGTCTTTTCCTTGTCAGTGAATTCATGGTTGTCATAACTCCTTGAGATCATTAATTTAAGTTTGGTATACTTGAGAAAAATTGGAGCCAGTTATCAAAAAATTTCTTTTCAGAGCTTACAAATAATGTGTTACTTTTTCATCTGTTTTAGGTCAGTAGTCTCTCTCTGGAAGACTTAAATGCATTTGTGGCACTCATTCTCTGCCTCAGAGGAAAGTCAGCTGCTGAACTGGCAAGTTTGCAGGTACTGATTGGAATAACTGAGTAACAGAAAATGTTCACAGAAACTCAGAGATTAATATTTTGAGGGGCTAGGGGGATTCAGCTTTAATTTTTTGTTCAGATATGGGAACTGAATGTGGTGGTAAACATGTAGGCTTTTAGTGCTACAGTTCATGTAAATATTTATATTTGTTAATCATGTGGGAAAAAAAATAGAAAGGATATTCTCTAGTGGTTGGGTTCCTAGGGTGAAGGAATGAGTCTCAGGTTTCTGCCTAACTTGGCTTCTGGATATTTCAATGATGGAAAATTTTAATGGTGAATCTTGTCCTGCAACATTGCTTTTCTTTTCTTAAGTAGAAGAACAGTGTTTCAGAACATCAGCTGTTTGAAAATCACCACACTAAGTAGAATCTGGTATTACTGTTTGTGGCAGAATGTATAACCAGCCAGAAAAAAAGTGTTACCTAACGTGGCCCCATTGTAGTGAAGACCTATTGGGTCATTCTAGACTATAATATTAGGTTATTAGGAGAACTATTTTTTCTTTTCTGTGTTGATGTGGTCTAGTCTAATCTCCTAGAGCTTATGATCAGTGCATGAATCTTTTCAAACATAGTGCTGGATATTTTATTATTTATTAGTAAATGGTTAGCAGGGAATGAAAATACAGCAGAAACTGTATGGATTACACAGTCGTGGCTGTTGTGGAAACAGACGTGGAGACTGCACGTTTGAGCAGTCAAGTAAAGATCATTTTGTGATGTATTAGTAATAGCAGTCTGTTGATAAAAGCAGAAATTTAATATTATCTAATGTTTACAAGGGCTTCTATAGTCTGCTTTTATACCTGGACCCAAACTGTAGTATGTTTTGAAAATATTTTTGAAATTACTGACGGTGGTTAAGGAAATCTATATTGCACCTTTTTTTTTTCTGTACGGTGATTGCAGGGTCAGCATGCTCTCCTTCATATGCTTTGTAGTCAAGAGACTGAGGGGTGGAGATAGGAATTCTCGCTTAAGATTCAAGTCTCATGACTGTCCATTACTCAGGAGATTTAAAATTTTATATACATTCTGTGCAAATCTGTGTTTTTCCCCTTTCCTATCTTCTTGAACTCACATTTTGAAAAACAGATTCTCAGTTATTGCAGTAGAATCATCTCATTAGTTCTTTTTGAATATCTGTGCAAGAGTATTTTCAGTCACAATTTGAGGTTGCATTCAAGTTATTAGTTGTGTAAAGCACAGACTGCTTGTGCCAATGGCTAACTGAGTTGTGGGCTTGCCTAAAAGTAAGGATGGGTTAGTAATGGTAGGAACTTCAATTCACCTTCACTCAGAAGGTCTTGTTTATATTTCCAGGGAACTCTATGCTACTCTAACCAGACCACGTTAGACTTTAGTAAGTCCTTTATGTTGATAGCAAGGTAATTCAACTACTGCTGTTATCGTCTGTTAGTTTCTAATGCATAGAAACCCAAGTAACAAAAACAGCATGATTCCAGATAGATTATTGGACTCATTTTGACAGATGAAATCCAGTCTTCATTTTTTTTTACAAATTCATCACAGATTTGTTCTGCAGGTAGTCAAATGTTAGGACTGTATGCCAGAAACAAAGCAATGAAATGATAGCAATGTGGAAAACAGCAAAAACGTAGGATTTATTTCTGTCTTGAGGACATTATTACACACAATGTACTTAACATTGAGCGTATAATTATTTTACGAAGTCTGATGTGGCAGCCATTCAGTAAAAGCATGAAGGCAGCCAAGCATAAGCAGGAAGTATTGAAATAGTTTGTTATAGATGCCCCTACAGATGTTGTTATGTAAATTTCTAAAGAGCTTGGAAGTTTGCTCTCTTGAATTCAATGTCTTTGTTCATTCATTAATGTTCTGGTTTAGAACACTTATTTTACATCCAAACATGTAATAATTAATTAATTAATAATTAATTGAAACATAATACTTTCCAGTAGTTATTCTGCTAATTCAAAAGTTGCTCACAAATTTTGCAATCTATCCACAAAACTTATGGGACATAAGATGGCATGAAAGTAAATGACATATGAAGCTGCTGTTATGCTGTATGGTGCACTCTACTGAAGCACATTATTGAAGTAGACAGTATCATGTTGGGACTGGGTTACTGTTGCTGTTTGCAGGTACTTTCAGAAGTGAAATCACTCTGCAATAGATATTTATTAAGTTGATTTTCTGGGTATTTATGTTTAAAATCAGTAGAGGATTCAAGTACACAGCTAATAAGTATGGGTTTTATGGGAGGAAAATGGAAGAGTACAGTTTAATCTAGTTACCGTACTTTTTCTTCTCCTCTGAAAAGTTAAATGTGATCTTTGGGAAGAACTTATTACAAAGCTTTCTAAGAAGTTGTGTTTAACTTGGGCAGCATCTACAATTTTTAATGAAATGCTTGCTTATTTGCAATCTTGGAATTGTCTTTATATTTTAACCGATAGTACAGTGTTAATGTTGACTCCTTCCAAATGATTCTGTGAAGAGCATTAATTTGATCAAAATAGTTTTGCTGTATTCTTGCACAAGAGTCCATTAGTGAATTTATTTGAAAAATTCTACTATTAACATGAGAGAAAATGTAAATAGAGCCCAATTTTCTCTTATGGTGAAGAGATCATTTCAGCCTTCGCTTCCAAATCTGCTTTCTGATATGCTATCCATATTTCATAGTTAATGAGACCCATAAGCCTACAAATTCATGAAATAGAAAGGGACCTGGTTTGAATAAAATGGGTTAAAGCCATAAAAAAATACTTCACACTGAAAGAAACTGTCCTGTGGACATATCAGTCAAATGCACATTATTCACTGAAAGTAACTACTCAGTTCTTAGATTTGTTTTTTAAGATCAGTGGTTTCAAAATACTGAAATGTGAACGTGATAGACAAGAACTTTTGTAAATTCATTTTTTTTAATCTGGTTTCCTTGTTGCACCCCTTATATGGTATACTTATATTCTGCTTTGCCCAAGTCTCCTGTAGAGCTTATACATAAGGTCAGAATTAACTTTTGGGCCCCAGGTTGCCTATTTCCCTTCTTTCTATTTTAATCTGGTGTGCTGTTCTGGCAGGAAGCCCAGAGAGCCATCAGTCTAACTTTGCAGCCATTGTAGAAAAAAAAAAAAGGCACCAGCAGTCCTGCTTGCAGTGTTGTTTCTTATATTGTGCCAGCCCTGGTTCTTCACAAGTGCAGCGATAAATCATCTTTCACCTGTAACATGTCTAGAATACTGTTCAAATAGGAGAAGCCACAGTGAGTTACAAACAGAAATAATACATTTCTTCTAGGATTTCTTCAAGTATGGGAAGATATAAAACATTTGTTTCAGTGGTGGAAAGTTTTGAATCAATCTTTACAGAAGTTGCAACCAAAGATAGATTGGGGAAACTTGGTTAAAAAGCAAATGTGTCTGGAAAATGATAGATGAAATTTGAGTTGACTCAAAAGATAGTGATGCACTGGAACAGGTTGCCCAAGGAGGCTATGGATGCCCCATCCCTAGAGGCATTCAAGGCCAGGCTGGATGTGGCTCTGGGCAGCCTGGTCTGGTGGCTGGTGACCCTGCACATAGCAGGGGGGTTGAAACTAGATGATCTTTGAGGTGCTTTTCAGCCCAGGTCACTCTATGATTCTGTGAGTTCTGAAAATGCTGTTAAAAGTTATATGTATGTCATAAAGCACTAACAGAATGTTAGTGGGAGATACATAGGTGGACATAGGTATCACATACTGCTTGAATTCATGGCATCTGTAAGCTCCTTACAGCTTTGCCATAACGCATCCAATTCTGCCATAGTATCTACTTTGGAGCAGTTACATCTTTTGTCCCCCTGGTATAAGAGTCTGTTTGGCTGTGTATGATAGGTAAGAATGTCAGACTTGAAATGCATGCCTTCAGCAGTTCAAGTGTTTTCAGTTATTTAGAAAGTGTTATAGATCCAGGGTAAGCACAGACATTTTAGATCTTACATGATAAGTTCCAGAGTCTCTGCAATTTGGTTGCAAATGAACTTCCACAAAAATCACTAACAAGCTTTGCGTCATTAGATTTCAGAATTAAAAATAAAAATAAGAAAATAAAGACTAACCTCAGCAAACTGGCTTAACAGGCAAAAATAGTTTAAGCAAGAATTTTGGTTGTGTAGAAGGTTCTCATATCTTCTGTTTTACAGTGGCACAGAAGCAAAATTAGCTTAGTAATGGTATGATAGCAAAATTACACAAGATAATTTTCTCTCAGTATTTTCCTGAAAAACACTTGGCCACATTCATGCAAATAAATTAGTGTGTTGTAGAATATTTATAATAATTTAGATTATTTTGTATTTTTAACCTTGCTATTTTTTTTCCTTGCCATCCAAACAGAAAAGCATAAATAATAACCTGATTCTGAACATTCCAGAATTTGACAAGCCAAGCTACATTTGTCAGAGCCATTAGATGGCATGATTTTCAGACAGACTCTGAACAACCTTTATAGGCTATCTATATTTTTCAAAATACAATTATTTTTAAAAAAGAAAGTGTTTCTCATCAGGAGAGAGACCCTGACTGTTCCCAATGAAAATACTTGCCATCTGGTTGGATTAAGGAAAACATAAAATATAAGAAAGAATATTGTAGAGATCTCCCAGATAAATCTGTTCTATTCAGTATCTGCTTTCATCTGTGTATTTTGGTATTAATGCATTCCCAAGTGCTTTACTGAATCAGGGCTTTATATTCCCACAAAAATTTGCATCTGACCATGTTTTAAGTTTAAGATGATAGGGAACATTGTAATTAGTCAGAGTGGGGCGGCCAGGCTGAGGTTGCTTCCCAGCTCATTCTTTCATCTTCTGTAGCCTTCGGGCTTCTCAGTGTTCTGAGCTAATCTGGAATAAAAGTGCAGTAATGCAGCATGTGATTTCAAGCTGAGGTTGGTTCAGTCCTTGTTCAGCTTTAGAAATACAGCTTCCTTCTCATTGCCTCAAC